TATTTTATTTTATTTTATTTTATTTTATTATTTTATTTTATTTTATTATTTTATTTTATTTTATTTATATTGCCGCCTATTCACCTATGGCGACTCGAGGCGGCTTACACAATGTAAAACCATATTTAAAACAAAAATAATAATAATAAAAATAAAAAACAATAAAAACTAACCAAAAGAATCTAACAAAAAATAAATTGATAAAGTACAATAGAACAAAATTTGGGGGGAAAAAAAACCCAACTCCCACCCCTCCCCCCGACTCCGACGACAGCAGATCACATTGGCCATTTGATGGGCTCCATCCCGCTCTGGGTTCCCCAGGCCTGCTGGCAAAACCAGGTCTTCAGTGCCTTCTGAAAGAGTGTTAGAGTGGGGAATTTAGCTAGGAATTTCAAAAAAGGATTATACATACATACATACATACATAAAGGGATATATAAAGGGAACCCTCTGCCAGTGAAAACAGAGCTTGGGCAGGCTTTGCGCGGCCCACATGGGCTCCATTCTTGGCTACGACGGCCTCCTGCAGCCCTCTGCCAGCCAAAATGGGCTCCAGAAGGCCGTCAGCAGATTAAAATGGAGCCCTGGAGGGTCACGTGCAGCCCTCCCGAGCACCGTTTTCACCGGCATAGGCACTGTGGGGCGGTCCTTTGTTGTTTCCAGGGTGGTTCCATGGGCCAGATCTAAGCAACCCATGGGCTGTATCTGGCCTATGGGCCTTGAGTTTGATGCCCCTATTGTAAAGTGTTAAGATTTGGTGGCATGTCCGTATTTCTGAAGATGCAGCTGTGCCCCATGGTTGAAACTAATTGCTTAGCAGGACCGTCCATAGATTAATTTGTACAGTAGCCATGGTAGTTCTGGTTTGTATAATTTGTAGAGGAAGAATAGCATCCTGAATCTTGAAATCAATGTATGGAACTGCCTTCAGAACTGCAGCGGATCATAGCAAACTCCAAGGGATATGTTGCAGTTGTAAACAAACAGATCCATCATCTTAATGTGGTTTTTTTCCCCCCTGCTGAGCATGAAAAACCAGAGAGAGTACAATTAGGATATTGCTCATTTCCTTGTTACTTAAAAAAAAAACATCTCTTTCTGGTGCTTCAACAGCTCCTTTGTTGTTTATTAACAGACTGGTTAGGATTGCATAATTACTGTTGTGCAGAAGTGTCTGCATTAGACACAAACATAGCTTGGAACAATTCTGCATCGAAGCGATTTCCTTAGATTGTAGAGCAGGGGCGTCGAACCTCGGGAAGTTTAAGGCCTGTGGACTTCAACTCCCAGAAATCCTCAGCCAGGCACACTGGCAGAGGTGTCCTGGGAGTTGAAGTTCACAGGTCTTAAAATTGGCATGGTTGGGCACGCCTATTGTAGAGTCTGCTGGAAGGTATCTGTTTTGCCAAGGATCGGGTGTTCAGGGTCCCAGACGATCGGTTCTTTTGGATCCAGAGACAATAAACAAAGCACTGATTAATGGGGCTTTAAGCTTTATTATTAGCTCAAGCAGACAAAGAGTTAAAGCAGGGGTGTCCAACCTTGGCAATTTTAAGACTTGTGGACTTCAACTCCCAGAATGCCTCAGCTGGCTGAGGAATTCTGGGAGTTGAAGTCCACAAGTCTTAAAGTTGCCAAGGTTGGACACCCCTGAGTTAAAGCATAACATAAAAGGCAGACATACCAACCAAGATAATGTCCAAATCTCTTCTAGGCTATTGGGAACCCCATAATAAGGACAGCAGAGAAGCACCAAGGGGTGGGACAGAGCCCACAGAATCTAGTGCTAGGTTCTGTGCAGAAACTTACAACAAACAACACAACCCCAATGTGGGTTTTGTTTTTTTTAAATTAAAACCTGGCTCCATGACTTCATGGCCCTGTTATAGTCAGGAGACTGCAAAGACATTGACTGACTGGCAAATCACTCCGGGATGGGAATGAAAATGTGAGTTTTTCACTGCAGAAAAAGCTTTGAAGCTGTATGAAGATTCTCTCACCTTCTTTATTTAGTAAACAAAAAAGTATATAAAACCAAACACGCTAGCTAAAAATGAGTGCTAAAAATCTAGACCAGGAGTATCAAACTCGATTTCATTGAGGGCCGTACCAGGGTTGTGTTTGACCTGGGGGGGGGGGGGGGGGGGCTTGGCCAACGTGGACGTGGCCAGCGCGATGTCACTCGTGTCGGGGGGGGCGCTTGTGGTGGCCCAAACGTTTGTGGTCCTCCCGAGCTCCGTTTTTGCTGGCAGAGTGTTGCAGGAGGCTGTGGCAGCTGAAAACTTTTATTGTTCTTATATTTATCCATGTATTCATAACTATGTTTTTATTTATACCGATTATCTTGTAAGCAATTGACAAACCAAATAAAATAAATAAATAAATAAAACGGAGCTCGGGAGGGCTGCACGTGTGGCCTTCCCAAACTCCATTTTTGCTGGCAGCGTGTTCAGAGTTTTGCAGTGTAAATTCAGCTCCAGAAAAGTAAACACAGATGGCTGAGGCTTCATGTAACTTCTTTACAAATATAACATCAGTAATTTTTACAATACCAGTTGTAGATTTCTCCAACATGGAGCAAACTCAAACAGAAGCAGACCTATTACAGGTTCAGAGCGGAGCTCTAGTTTTCAGCAAGCAACTCAACTTCAGCAGACAAGCAAGCAAGTTAGTTTCTCTTTCACTTTAGAGCTGAACACAGAACAGAGATAAACCACGCCCAGAGTCTCTGTTTAGGTTTCAGCCCTCAACTCAGCTCTCATTGACTGACTTTGTTACTAAGCTCTATTCCAGTTCATGAATAGACTCTTGACACAGAGGCTCTGTGAGCCAGTCCTTGGCTGTTTCCAGGGCAACCTCACAGGCCAGATCTAAGCACCCTGCAAGCCAGATCCGGCCCTCCGGCCTCGTGTTTGACACCCCTGGTCTAGACTTTTCTTAATATGAAATCAAAATATGCCACTAAACTCCTCAAAATAACAACGGTGTTCCTCATTGCCACCATAGTATCTTCTCAAAAGTACTCTATGCTACTTTCCCTGTACTTCCCAAAGTCCACACATTAAAAACACGCACAGATGCAAAGTGAGGAGAGAGCACAAATACACTTGCATGCACAAATCCACCCGGATCGCACGTACAGGCAACATACCCACCCACCCTGATTTGACTCACACGAACCCAGAGAAACAGACACGCTATTTTGCTACACAAAATGAAGATACAGATGCCTCCTATGACCACTGCTGGTTTAGGGTCGGAAAACCAGAATCGATATTCCAGATGTGTCTCCTAAGTTAAGAGCTATCCAGATTCCAAAAGGCAAGCCCCTATGCAAATATGGCACCCCCCGATCTATAATTATCCTTTTGAAGTGAAAGGAATTGCCAAATTTTAAAAAAATGGCAGCCGGAGCAAGTCATCTAGGAATGTTGGTTAGACAATAATGTGGGTTCCCCTATGTAACTATGTGGGAACTATGTGGTGATACAGGAAAGAAATGGTAGAACCTGGGATGGAGACAAAAGAGGGATTAGCCTAGAATCCGTACGTAGCTGCAAATCCAACCTCATTAATTCTGTTGACCCTTATCTAAGTCCAAGCCGTTGCTAACCATTAGTTGATAAGATTCTTATGCATAACCACGCATATAAATCAGTGTAATTGGAACTTTACGTGTTGCACCTGATAGGTAAAGAATTTAGATGACAGAATTTAGATGACGGTTGTATGAGTCGTGGACTTTTATTTGTATAAATGAGTAAATCAACGCACATAATTTATGAAGCAGAGAAGGGATGAACTGTAGATTCATATTAAGGATTCGTTAAATTCATCATCCTTCTGATTCACCATCCTATGGGGGAAGTTCTGTCCTGATTTACATAGGGCGTGGGAAGGATTTCTAAGAGCCCGATACATAGCTGGATGGTTTGAATTTTGAAAAACCATACCCATCCTCAGGACAACTAAACCTAGAATTGTTTGGCTTGTGCCTATAATCAAGGCAGATTATAGGTTGCAAGTTCGTGAGGATAAATGTTACTGGACAACATGACAAGTAGGAGCAATGGGTTGTTCTGGTTTGCCAGCAGCAGGTGCAGATGGCTGAGGTCTCGGAGAGCGAGGACTCTGATGAGGGGCCTGCGTGTGATGCAGGGATGGAGCCAGGACTATCGGGGTGCTGCCTTCAGAGCTTGTAGAGTCTGGCAGCAGTGACGAAGAAGACCTCGGGGCGCCTGTGTTCAGTGTGCATGTGTGCAGGGCTGCTTGAAGGAAAGAGCAGCTGAAGCAGCATGGGGGACTCGGGAGTAAGGTTGCAAGGTGATGGCTCCTCCCATTAGGGATAAAAGCTAGCCTTTGGGGTTGGCTTCTTTGCAGGAAGCAAAGAAGTTCATTCAACTCCAAGTTCTTATGGAAGTCTTGTCTGTTCTGGTTCGTGTTTGAAGATTTTTGGTTTGGAATATTTCTCTGCAGTTAATCTTGTATCCTTGGCAGCCTTTCACAACCTTGAAAGGGCTTGCTCTCATCTGGGACAATTAATTTTAATGACTCTTTGCTATGAATGAACAGAATTCACAGAAACGCATTAAAAAGCTTTGCTTTTATATATGCTTTGTGTTTATTTGATTTGAACGAGGCTTGGATCAGAACAGTGGTGGCCTTCCAAATTTTTTTCCTACCGGAAAACCCATGGGGAGTATGCTTCGTGCGCACGCACAGCACTCAAATCCAGTCTGGCGCACAAATCAGCTAAAAACCAAGGGAATAGGACAGGAAAGGGTAGGGGTGGGTGGGTGGGGCCAGCCAGAGGTGGTATTTGCCGGTGCTCCGAACTAGTCAAAATTTCCGCTACCGGTATGCC